CATATCTATGCAAAAATTGCGTGGAACACATAGTTAGGTTGAACTTATCTGCCTTCCATTGAAGCTAATGGAGCGTAGATCACACCTGGGTGGGGGCTTAAAAGATAAGTTCACTTTTTGATAAAAAATAATAAATGCACATTTTTTTGCAGGCAAAAAATAATAAATACACATTTTCTTGCAGGCAAAAAAAATAATAAATGCACATTTTTTTTTGTAGGCAAGAAAATAATAAATGCATATTTTTTTGCAGGAAAAAAAATAATAAATGCACATTTTTTTTCAGGCAAAAAAAAATAAATGCACATTTATTTGCAGGAAAAAAAATAATAAATGCACATTTTTTTTGCAGGCAAAAATATAATTAATGCACATTTTTTGCAGGCAAAAAAAATAAATGCACATTTTTTTGCAGGAAAAAAAATAATAAATGCACATTTTTTTGCAGGCAAAAATATAATTAATGCACATTTTTTGAGGGCAAAAAAAATCAGCTATAGCTATGTTGTTAGCTACGTTGTTAGCTATGGTCACAGTAGTCACATGGTACAGACAGGGCCAATCACAGCTAATCACAACAAAAGACTGAATGAATAATTTTCTTTCAGTAAAAATGGTTGCTAATATCAATGAAATACATACAAAAAAAATAAGAATAATAAAAATAAAAAAATAATAGAAAAAATTAAAAAAGAAATATTTTTTTTTTCACATACTGTAAAGATTCAGTGTCCCTGATCACCGCCACACCAGTTATATGATAACACCGTACCGGACTAGTGACAATATGTAAAAAAATTTTTAATGTCTTAATTTTCTGAAAAAATGTGACTAAAAATTACAACTTCAAAAAACAAGCCATGCCTCATACTAAATACCTCTTACTAAATGACTGTCAAAAATCAAGAAATGAGATTGGCAATCGGTACATCAGGATTGATTGACTGTGAGATATAGACAGACAGTATATACTATGGTTTGTGGACTCTATAACTTTCCTACAGACTAAATAATATACACTAATTTGGGTTATTTTCACCAAAGAAATGCAGCAGAATACATTTTGACCTAAATTTATGAAGAAAGATTATTTATTTGCAAACTTTTTTAATAGAAACAAAGAAAAACACTTTTTTTTTTCAAAAGTTTCTTTTTATTCTTTATCAAAAAATAGAAAAACTCTGTGGTTAAATACCATCAAAAGAAAGCTCTATTCGTGTGAAAAAAAATGTTTTTTATGGGTACAGTGTTGCATGACCGCACAATTGTCATTCAAAGTGCAACAACACTGAAAGCTGAAAATTGGCCTGGGCAGAAAGGGGGTAAAAGTGCCCGGTATTGAAGTGGTTAAAGCAGTAATAAACCCAAAAGCAAACATTTATTATATTGCGGCTCAGCAATTCCTAAATGTGATGGCTACATTAGATTTCTTTTTTAGGGCTCATGTACACTGCAGCTCATAAACTCGCGTTTAGGAGCTGTTCAGCGTTTTTTTTCAGCAGCCCCTGAACTCTCCCTAATGTTTTCCTATGTGTCCATGTACACATCTTCGTTTACAGTCGTTTACAGGCATTTGAGTTTACAGTCATTTTTTTAATGCAAAAAACTTGTGTTCAGCAGTTGATTTTATCAGCGTTTCAAACGCAAAATGCTTGTAAACATGGTTAAATGCAGCAAAAACCCGTTTATAAGTGTTTGCGTTCGAAATCTTTTTAATTCTTCCAGTTCCCGATGCTGTCCAGAGCCTTTTTTCATCATGAAAAATGCATGCAAAGCGTTTTCAAGGTACTCAGATGGACAAAACACTGAACACAGGATGTTCCTACCAAGCTTGTCACACATTGTAATGACCAATTCACACCTCAGACCTCTCCCACCCTTGGAAACAAAAGATATGTTAATGACCATTCACACCTCAGACCTCTCCCACCCTTGGAAACAAAAGATATGTTAATAACCATTCACACCTCAAATTCCTTATGAAGACCCCCTGCCAGGTGGCCTTAAGGACTCCACCAGACACCTTTCCCACCCTTGGAAACAAAAGAAATGTTAATGAGCAACTCACGCCTAAGCTAATCTCAACACATACTGCTGTCTCTGCTTCTACTCTCTGTATTTCTCTGAAACAGTCTGAAATAGTTAATAATTTACCACTTTCCAGTGCATTCTGGGCATTTGGGAGGTTCTCCTGTGCTTATCTTTAAAAAATGCTTCCAAACGCACATAAACACGTTATGCAAACGCGGCTAAACAGATGTTTTTTAACCTACGTTTTCCAGCAGTCAGTTTCAATCATTCAGAAGTGTCCCATGTACATGGGGCCTTAGGCTTTCTTTCCTTTATTTTCACCTGTGGATCTGGCCAGTAAGTCTGTTGTTTTTCAACAGAACAAGTTGTCCTGCAAATGTATCAGTTACTGAGATGAGACAAACCATTCGCCGCTGACAGGGGTGCTTACAAATGATCATCTTTTATTTATTCGTAGAAAACCTTTATCACAAAAGAAAAAAAAACTGTTGTGTAACTGCTATAAAGTGTTAGTTGGAGTTTAGTTTCAATTTGTTAGTGCATCTAAATCTGCTAGTGTATCTAACACTCCCCCCCCCCCCCCCCCCCCCCCCCCAGGCTGACAATACTGCTGTCCACAGGCGTCCCCCTGTGCACCTTTACCCAGAGTGGGGGCTAATACAGGAGGTGTGTTACTGGCCAGACAACCAGGTAAAAACAGAGAGGGAAAATTACTAAAAAGAAAACTAATGCATCCATGTAATGATTGGTAAGCTGCAATACATTCCAGTTTTGGTTTTGGGTTTAATACAGCTTTAACTGCAGCAGAAAAAGCAGGTCTCCTCCCTGCCAGACAGGAGTGTGCATGTAAATCTCAGTGTATTTTTTGTGTTTTTAGCTGTTTGTTTTGAGTTTAGCTTTAACCTCCCTGGAGGTATTCCCGAGTGTAGCTCGGGGTAAAGTTTCAGTACCACAAGCGGTAACCCTGAGCTACACTCGAGCTTACCATGCGGCGCTGCTCCGGGATCCCTCGATCACTTACCTTGTCCTGCACTCCCGCGATGTCCCTCCTGCAGTGTCCCCTGTAATGTCCTCCGACATCTGTCATCTGCGTTCCATCCCCTGCGACGTCGGGACGTACGGGGGACGGAACTGGCGGGAAATTTGAAAATGAAAAAAAGTGACATTCACTAAAATCACATAGTGTAACATTCTCGTATCAAACCATTTCACGTACATTTTGTCCCGAGTGCTTTGTCCTGTGCCCTGCCTGCATTTTACTGTTCTTTCTGCCTGGAAACTGAGAAATGTCCATGGCGTCCAAAAAGCGTCCCTTTAGGTCAAAAGCGGTTTTAGACCAGCTAGAGAACAGCGATAGTAAATCAGAACCACTTGCAGAATTGAGTGATAATGATTCGTGGGGGAAATTCGTCATCAGACACTGAAAACGATTCTGCGACTTTGCTCAGTTTCAGTGTTTTTTTGGTTTGATTATATTATTGAATTCAATTTATTATTATTATTATTTTTTATGATTATTTATTAAATTATAATTTATGATTTCGTGTTTCAAGTTTTATCCTACCCGGGATGTTTACTAGACTCTTGTTCGGACAGATTTCAGTGAGTTATTCCTAAAAATTACAGGCCTACAATAAAAAAAAATACATATTTCCATGCAAAAAAAGGTACCGCTTTGAGCACAGAAATATGGACATAATCAGACCGCTAGGGAGGTTAACTAAGGTAAAAAAAAAAGTGGTGTCACCCTCCTGCCTATGGTGTCTGATAGGTGTGTGGGAATCACAAAAGGGGCCAAACAGAATTGTATACTGTGATGAGTAAAACAGTGTCATTTCAGCCGTGTATTTCCTTTTTTTTTCTTTTTGGCTGCAGCTCTGCTTTACTGACTAAGACAAATGACTATGTTTTTAATAAAAAAAAAAAAAAATGTGCGGAACGGCTTTATAATTAATTGCAGCGTATACGGGTGGACACAGCTTTTTGTAAAGCGGTTTAGGTGCCTGGGGATCCCGCAGGGAGAGAGAATGTAATAGGATGTTGCTGTAATAATTCAGTTGTGTCTTGCAGCACTTGACCTGAAAATTCTTGTCTGTGATCGATGAGCGCAGCAGGGCCGGTGTGATGCCCAGTGTGTGGTCAGTGCAGCATCAGGTTGGACCTCAGTCCCTGAGCTCTAGACAAATATAGCAAATATAAGTCGCCGGACTAATCAGCATTGGGGAAGTAGCACGAGGGGCATTCTACAGGCCACTGTCATCGAAGACTCGTCCAAAGCGCTGATGAACTCATGGACATGTTTTTTTACATAGTTAGTCTGGCTGAAAAAAGACAAAAGTTCATCCAGTTCAACCATTAAAAAAAAAGTTATAATCCTACACCCACAGTTGATCCAGAGGAAGGCAAAAAAAAACATCAAAGCATGATCCAATTTGCTCCTGCTGGGAAAAAAATTCCTTCCTGATCCCCCGAGAGGCAATCGGATATTCCCTGGATCAACTTTACCTATAAATGTTAGTATCCAGTTATAGTCAAGAGCTGCACTTATCTGTGCCTACAATATACATAGTTAGTCTGGCTGAAAAAAGGCAAAAGTCCATCCAGTTCAACCATAAACAACAAAAAAAAAAAGTTATAATCCTACACCCACAATTGATCCAGAGGAAGGCAAAAAAAAACCCAGCAAAGCATGATCCAGTTTGCTCCTGCTGGGAAAAAAAATTCCTTCCTGATCCCCCGAGAAGCAATCGGATATTCCCTGGATCAACTTTACCTATAAATGTTAGTATCCAGTTATATTCTGTGTATCTAAGAAAGAATCCAGGACTTTTTTAGAACAATCCACTGAGCTGGCCAGAACCAACTCTTGAGGGAGTCTATTCCACATTTTCACAGCTCTCACTGTGATGAAACCTTTCCGTGTTTGGAGATTACATTTCTTTTCCTCCAGACTGTTTGTAAACAGCACAGATCTCTCTCCTGTCAGCAAGGCAGAGAAATACAAAGCAGCATGTCTCCCTAGTAAAACACAACGCAGCACACAATGTAAAACACAGCACACAGTTAACCCTTTGATCGCCTCAGATATTAACCCCTTCCTGCCCAGTGTCATTAGTACAGTGTCAGTGCTTTTTATTAGCGCTGATCACTGCATTAGTGTCACTGGGGATGTCAGTGGCAGTTAGTCAGGCCCCCCCCCGAGTGTCAGTTCTGCTATAATTTGCAGATTGCCACTATTACTAGTATAAAAGAAATAAAAATTATAATTCCAGTATATATACCGCCATTTGTAGACACTATAACTTTCACGTAAACCAATTAATATACACTTATTGGGAATTTTTTTATCAAAGACATGTAGCAGAATACATTTTGGTTTAAGTTTATGAAGAATTTAGATTTTTATTTTTATTGGATATGTTTTATAGCAAAAAGTCAAAAATATATTTTTTTTTTTTTTCAAAATTGTCGGTCTTTTTTTGTTTATAGCTCAAAAAATAAAAAATGCAGAGGTGATTAAATACCACCAGAAGAAAGCTATATTTGTGGGGAAAAAGTGACATAGCTTTCATTTATGTATTGCATGACCGCGCAATTGTCAGTTAAAATAACGCAGCGCTGTATCGCAAAAAATGGCCTGGTCAGGAAGGGGGGTAAATCCTCTACAAGTGGTTAAACAATAAGAAAATATGCCATAAATCGAAGACTAATCACCACAAAGGGCACAGTGTGGGGAATTTGGGGAGGCAGAAGGGCACAGTATGGGAGGGATCAAGAGGGCACAATACTGGGATCAGGAGAGCAAAGTACAGGATGCTGCCTGGGACACCCGGGACAACTTAGTTTAAAGCATGACTGTCCAGGCAAATCCGGGACAGTTGGTAGGTATGATGTAATGCAAAATTATCATAGGACTCTCATGCACCTGGGGCCCCTGGGCAGGGGTGCCCATGCATTAAGACAGCCCTAGTCAGTGTCCTTCCAAAGCTCGCAGTGGCTGTATGACGTCAGCTGACAGTGGGCTTTACCTTGCTGTTGGCTGATTCTGGGTCACAGCAGTGCAATAGTAAGTGCTCCTTTAAAACAAAGCCTTTTTAATTTTCAGTACCTACCTTATTTTAGCAATGTCATCATTGGGTCTCTGTGCTTCTCTATGCAATGCAGGCAGATCATGGCTGGTTGGGGGGGCGGGGGTTGGCTGGGAGCTGTGCATAGTTTCCTGAAAACATCACAGCCTCCAGCCTCAGTACTCCTCTTAAAGGATACGTTAACCTAAGAGTCCACAGTCCTGATACAAGCCGTGGGCTGGCTTTCTAGAGCTGTTATATCATTATTATCATTATTAGGGATGCACCAATACCGGCATCGCTATCAGTGCCAATATCAAGTATTTTCATGAGTACTCATTAAAAAAATGCTCCCGACACCTGAAACTGATACTTTGCGGTGCGATTTGTGTCTATACAAAATGCGTGGATGCAAACTGCACCTCAAAGAATAGCATGTGATTTGAACAGGAATGCGATTTCCCCACTGCTCCTGTCTGAACCCAGGCTTGTCATATGGAAACCTCCCTTCGCCAGACCAGGGGCGGACTGACCATTCAGGCCCTCTGGCAGTGTCTGAGAAGGGGGCCCCATGAGATGTCCCTGGTACCTTACATAGGCTTTTTTGGGTGTGGTTTGACTGTGGGCGAGGACACAGGGGTCCCATGATCCCCTACTGCTCGGGGGTCCCAAGGGTTGACAGTCTTCCCCTGTATCAGGCCCATGTTGTCACAGAAGAAATCTCCACGGCTTTCTCTCCTCTCAGTGCAGGGATGACAGTACAAGCTAGATGGCTTTTGATTGGTCAGCACCGTGATGGTGCTAACCAATCAGAAGCCGTCTAGCCTGTACTGTCATCTCTTCATGGAGAGGAGAGAAATCTGCTTCGCAGGTCTGAGGATTTGAAATCCCAACAGCTTTCTCTCCTCGACCTTGTAAGGATGAAAGTACGGGCTAGACAGCTTCTGATTGGTCAACACCATCACAGTACTGACCAATCAAAAGCCATCTAGCCCATACTGTCATCCCTGCACTGAAATGGGAAAAAGTCATGGGAATTTCAAATCCTCAAACCTGTGAAGCAGCTTTCTCTCCTCTCAGTGCAGGGATGACAGTACGAGCTAGACGGCTTTTGATTGGTCAGCACCGTGATGGTGCTAATCAATCAGAAGCCGTCTAGCCTGTACTGTCATCCCTGCATGGAGAGGAGAGAAAGCTGCTTCACGAGTCTGAGGATTTGAAATTCCCATAGCTTTCTCTCCTCGATCTTGTAAGGATGAAAGTACGGGCTAGACAGCTTCTGGTCAACACCATCATGGTACTGACCAATCAAAAGCCATCTAGCCTGTACTGTCATCCCTGCACTGAGATGAGAGAAAGCCGTGAAGATTTCAAATCCCCAGCTTTTCCTTCTATAACAGCAGGGTCCTGGTGCAGGGAGGTTTCCCTAAGACAAGCCTGGGTCCAGACAGGAGCAGTGGGGAACCTGTATGTGATTTGGACAGGAATCGCATGCCTGTTCGAATCGCATGCTTTTTCTTGCGGTGCAATTTGCGTCCATACAATTTATATTGGTACTCGGCATCGGTGAATACTTGACCAAAAGTATCGATACTCGCCGATCAAAAAAGGGGACCAGTGCAACCATGCAATTATGATGGGTAGATGTCAGTCTGAAGGAATGGGCGTCCCCAGGCAGGATTTATTTGCTTGCAGACCACTTTAGGAAATGTCTACTTGTGATGCTGAGCCTCCATGACTGAAAAAACTGAAATCCAATAAATGAAAGAGATCGGGGAAAGTCAGGCTGGGAAGAATGACGCCGGACGGCCTTCAGCCAAGAAATGAGGCGGGTTCTGTCCAGGGGGGACTGACAACTCCTGGGGCAATTGGGGATCATGGTGCCCCTGTGTCCTTGCCCAAACTCAAAAAAGCCTATGAAAAAGGTACCAGGGGCATCTCATGGGGCCCCTACTGACCCCGGGCCCTCGGGCAGTGCCCGAGTTTCCAAATGGTCAGTCCACCCCTGGTTCTGTCTGACTTGCTGCAGCTTCTAATACACATTGTGAGAAGCTCACAGTGTGCGGTGAAATCAGAGGAAGCCATTTCTGTTCAGGAGAGGAGTCGGTACAACTGACGGGAAGGCTGGAGGTCAGATTGAAGGACATTTCATCCTTTTGTTATGTTACAATATAAAGCCTCCATTCACCTGGCAATGCTAGAGTGGGATATTCCCCGGACGGCAGGCTGTGATTAATCAGCAGGCTGGATCTCCAGCTGTGGCTTTGCTGATTAATGGACAGCACTCAGGATTACTGAAGAATCTGCATGTTCCCCGGAGAGGAGGATGACAGTCCTGGAGCATCTTGTAGATGAGCTGCTGCTTCATAATGAAGAGGTGCCAGGTAAGGTGGTCTGGGTACATTTTACAGACCCCACCAGGCAGGTCCTATCGAGGGGGACCCAGGGCACGTACACGGAATGGATTGTGTCTATCAAATGCCCTAGAAACACCTTCAACTCATGAGGAATAGCTGAATGGGTGATCTGGAGCAGGACGGACTGATCATTCGGGCACTTGGGCACTGCCCAAGGGCCCAGGGTCAGTAGGGGGCCTTGTGAGATGCACCTGTTACCTTTCATAAGCTTTTTTGGGTGTGGTTTGAGTGTGGCGAGGACACGGGCCCCATGATCCCTATTTCCCGGGGGCCCCATTAGTTGTCGGTCCACCCCTGATCTGGAGTGACCTATACGACCTGCTACCCAGGCAAACCTTACAGGACTAAAGCCGGCTATGCACGGGTTAAATTCCAAAAGGATTTTCTTTCAAAAATCTTTTCTAAGAATTTTTGTTCAAATTTTGCACCATTAGTAGGCCACAGAAACCGCCAATTTTCCTGCAACCATCGAATTTGAGTGATCGGAATATTGAAAGTTTTTTGAAAAACAAACTAATTTCTAATCAATGATGGGAGTATCGTGTGAGACATGTAAATAAAAAAGAAACGAGCGTGAGCTGTGACCTGGAAAGAAAAGAAAATTCTTGGCCACAGAAATTTTATTTTCTGTAGCAACATGTGAAATTGAAGGCTTGGTTGGTCGAATTTCAAAATCAATGGTGGCACTATCGATTTACAAAACGTACGAAATCTCAGATTTTCATTCAGAATTCGACCCATATATGGCCTGCATTAGCCTAGAAATACTGATATAACGATGAGTTGAGAAGAACTTCTATTAGGTATTTATTGCTGCCCATTAGAGCTCTCTTTCAGACAGATGATAAAGCATTCCACCCTCTGAAAAGTGATCCAAAGTGGATTGCTTTTCAGAGGGTAGTATCACAGTGACTGGCATGCATTCATGAGGTGCTAAAAAAAAAAAAAAAAAAAAAAGAGGCGTCACGCCTCCTCGTGTGTGTGTTTTTTTTTTTTTTTTTTGTTCTTAATTGACAAATCATAGTTTTATATTGCAGGACCACGCTACAATTGTGAGCCAGGCGTTTGGCTTTCGGTTGCAGTGTGGCCCCATTGATCTCAGTGGGTGAGTTTGACAAGTGATGGCTCCTGTCAAACTCTGCAGTCCGAGTTAAAATGGCAGTGGCTGTGGCATGTGTACAGCCCTGTCAGACTATTAAGTTAGAATTCTGGTGGATGGCCAGGGGGTGGTAACATTGTGGCTCACAGTTACCACCAACCACATAGGTAGATATGTTTTGACTTCCTTTTCATGTCTCTGGGACAGGAAGTGATCAGGAATCTCACTAACAAGCATACAAACAACAATAAAAGATTTTTCTTTTCAGTGTGGGGAATGATTATATCCTCTATGAGATCCTAAAAAGGATTTTATTTTTTTTTTTTTTTTTTTTTAGAGAGTGGGGAATGATTATATCCTCTCTTAGCTCCTAAAAATGATTTCGTTTTTTTTTTTTTTTTCTTTTTTAGAGAGTGGGGGATGATTATATCTAGAGATGAGCGAATCGAATCAGGCGAAGTGGAATTCGTTTCGAATTTCAGGAAAAATTCGATTCGCATCGAATCCGAATTTTTGCCAACTTCGGATGGTCGAATCGAATTTTTCCTGATCGGCCGTTTTCATCCCTTCTACAGCCGGCAAAAATGTCCCTGCAGAGAGCTCCGCTATTTCTGACAGCTGTCTGACAGTTCTTTCACATTTCCAGCGGTTGAAACATTGTATGTATTTGTTTCTATTTAGGATACAGATGTTTTTATTAGGAAACAAATAGATACAATGTTTCAACCGCTGGAAATGTGAAAGAACTGTCAGAAATAGAGGAACTCTGCAGAAACACTTTTTGCTTTACTGGAATTATTCTTATTTTCATTCTTCTTCTTATTTTCATTCTTCTTTTCATTCTTTTTTCATTCTTCTTTTCATTCTTCTTTTCATTTTTTCATTCTTCTTTTCATTCTTCTTCTTATTTTCATTCTTCTTTTCATTCTTCTTGTCATTCTTTTCATTCTTCTTTTCATTCTTTTCATTCTTCTTTTCATTCTTCTTTCTTTTTTCATTCTTCTTTTCATTTTCATTCTTTTCATTCTTCTTTTCATTCTTCTTCTTATTTTCATTCTTCTTTTCATTCTTTTCATTCTTCTTTTCATTCTTCTTCTTATTTTCATTCTTCTTCTTCTTTTCATTCTTCTTTTCATTCTTTTCATTCTTCTTCTTTTCATTCTTCTTCTTTTTTCATTCTTTTCATTCTTCTTTTCATTCTTCTTTTCATTCTTCTTTTCATTCTTTTCATTCTTCTTTTCATTCTTCTTTTCATTCTTTTCATTCTTCTTTTCATTCTTCTTCTTATTTTCATTCTTCTTTTCATTCTTCTTTTCATTCTTCTTTCATTCTTTTCTTTTCATTCTTCTTTTCATTCTTTTCATTCTTTTTTTCATTCTTTTCATTCTTCTTTTCATTCTCCTTCTTATTTTCATTCTTCTTTTCATTCTTTTCTTCTTTTCATTTTCTTCTTCTTTTCATTCTTTTCATTCTTTTCATTTTCTTCTTCATTCTTTTCATTCTTTTCATTCTTCTTCTTCTTCTTCTTCTTCTTCTTTTCTTCTTCTTCTTCTTCTTCTTCTTCTTCTTCATTCTTTTCATTCTTCTTCTTCTTTTCATTCTTTTCATTCTTCTTCTTCTTCTTCTTCTTCTCCTTCTTCTTCTTTGGCCCCGTGACTGCCCAAATGAGTGAAGTGTGCGGTGATTCTAAGATCGACGGCACTCATCTGCATGTCATACTGACTGACAGTATTATTTCTCTTCCCCAGCAGACTCCAAGGGCATTTAAATTAAAGGTACAGTGTTCTGCACTAATATAAAGGCTCTCTGAAGCCTAGAAACCCTTTTTATAAGTAAAATTTGCAGCGAATAAATTCGCAGAATCGAATTTTTTCGGAAAATTCGGCGAATCGAATCGAATTTTTGAAAAATTCGCTCATCTCTAATTATATCCTCTATTAGCTCATAAAAATTGTCTTTTTTTTTTTCTTTTTAGAGTGTGGGGAATGATTATATCCTGTATTAGAACCTAAAAAGGATTTTATTTTATTTTTTATTAGAGAATCGATGCGATTCCAACGCCCCCAATCACCCGCAGCCGCTTCGTGGTTCTCTTGCGAGATGTATCTCATCCCGTAGCACGATTATGGTGCGATCGTGGGTGCAGGAACTGCCCAAAAACCCCACTCACCTTTTCCTTGAGTGAAACGTGGGCACAACAGCCCATTCAAATCAATGGCCCGCACAAGTGTGAACCAGGGATAGATCCTAAAAAAGGATTTTTTTTTTTCAGAGCGTAGGGAATGATTAGATCCTCTCTTTTGCAGGCCATACATGGGTCAAATACCAAATGAATTTTTTTTAGAAAATTGGAAATTTTGTGCGTTTTGTAATCTGCTGATGCCACCATTGATTTCGAAATTCAACCAACCAAGCCTTCAATTTCACCTCCTGTTGCTACAGAAAAGAATTTTCATGGCCAAGAATTTTCTTTTCTTTCCAGGTTACAGCTCTTATTTCTTTTTGGTTTATATTTCCAATGCGAATCTCCCATCGTTGATTCAAAATTTGTTCATTTTCCAAAAAATTTCCAACATGCCCGATCACTCAAATTTGATGGTCACACGAAATTCATCTGTTTCTAGGACCCACTACTGGTGCGAAATTCGAACGAAAATTCTTAGAAATTTCTAAAGTAAATTTTTTCGGAATTCGACCCATGTATGGCTGGCTTTAGATCCTAAAAAAAATATATATTTTTTTTTTAGAGAGTGAGGAATGAATTAAATCATCTCTCAGAACCTAAAAAAGGATTTTTTTTTTTTTTCCCAGAGAGTAGGGAATGATTAGATCCTCTGTTAGATCCTAGAAAGGATTTTTTTTTAGAGAGTGAGGAATGAATTAGATCCTCTTTTGCGCTAGGTTTACGCTAGGGATGTACCGAAATTTTGGTGGCTGAAACGTTTCGGCTGAAAACACCCCTATCGGGCTTTGGCCAATATGAAAATAGGCACCGATACAGGTACCGAAAATAACCCCACTGTCCCTTGCCCGGTGGTTCTCAGCTTTACTTGAGAATCCATCCAATGATCCCAGCACTGGGCATAGAGATAAGTGAAGGAAAGATGGCCTCCGCTCATCTCTATGCCCCTGGAGGACCGGAGCGACGTCATTATGTCACTTCTGGTTCCAGCATCTTGTAAACGAGGCCTTTTTTTTTTTTAAAGCACTAGTTCAGTGCTATTTTTGATCTAATGCTTTACATCAGGGCTTGAAATTTCCACTCGCCTGCTCGCCAATGGCGAGTGGAACATATGGTGGGGGCGAGTGTGTCCCCCAGGGCAGTCTTGCTGAGCAGGCTCGGAGTGCAGGCTGGATCTGTCATTGGCACTGGGAGCCGTCAGACTGCTCAATAGCTGAGCGCAGTGAAAGCAAAGCAAGGAGTGTGTACTGTGCTCTCTACCTCCCCCTAGAGTGCAGTACCTGGATCTGTGAGTGAACAACGAAGTACTGTACATGTGTG